AATGTATAGACCAAGGTCAAGATTATCCCGTACAGACCGACCAAGCTCGGTTGATAAGAGTTTCATTATATGACCACTTTTCATTGAAAAGGACAAAATGTTTTCGTCGTAAGATTAATATGCGGTTGGACCGGTTAATACCGGAGAATCTAGACGAGTCCGCGATGTGATCTATCCAATCAGATTGCTCGATTTGCTAGTGTCCAGGCTCTAAGACTCATGGTCTAATAATAAATACTATTATTAATGGGTATATCATTACCAGGCTTACAGTGAGGATCCTGCTGTATATACTCCATTGTCACAAGACGAGTAAGTTGAACATGTTTGGTGTTAACCATTTACATATATACATCATTTGTTGTTTTTTGACTTCTTATATTAAATTTAGCGTCTATTAAAGAAGAGTAAAGCTTGAATTCACATATCTGCAGCTTCCTTGAATACTCCCATTTYGAGTTCCCCTTTGCTTAGTCTTAGCCTTGATTGTGYACAAATGTGTTCTTTYTTTATTAAGGTCCATYGTATAGTAAGGAATGTACRCACTAYRGAACAATAYRAKTTGATKAAAATSCCACRRGTTTTGGTYRAATAGCTTAATATTATGATGCCGAACGGACTGAGCAAAGAGAACTTAAAACTGGAGTATTGCGAACCAGTACATTATTCCAGTGGTCTTTTTTTCCCAGTTTGTCAATTATTTGCAAGCACATATTCTGTAGTATTCCACAATCGATTCTAAAACTAGTCATGGTATCGTAAACCCCACTCCTTCATTGCCATGTRTCTTAAACCCCACCCTCTCATGTGATCAGTAATACGGAACACCCTCAACACAACTTAGATTTGAAAAATATGAGGTCGTATCACCAGGATTTACATGGTAATATTCATTTTCTGTTGTAGAATACAAAGAATTATAAAAGAAAGAAAACAAAAAGACACACAGAGAAAACAGAAATTAACTGAAAACAGAAAACATTTAGCAAATGTCAGGTAAGCCTTTTAGCTGGGAAATTTTTTTGTAATATTAAATTGCTAACTATATTTTATATATACATGTAGCTATATTTTGTACTCTATGCTCTTCAGCCCTTGTAAATAATATTGCCTTGGATGCTATGGTGAGCTCATACGACACAATTTTTATTTTTCAAAACATTTATTTGTTGTWCTGCTCTTTTAAAAACAGGGTTGTACAAAAGAATTTGGTGTTTGTGGTTGGTTTGACGCAGAGACTTGCTGACTCAGAGGTAAGATTTGAAGAAGATCAATAGAATTTGAAGTAGATGGATACAACTTTGGCTCAATTTGCTAACGCTATAACAGACCTTAAGCTAACAGATCCATAATTTCAACCCCATGACAGCAGTCATATAGTATTGGGAAGCATGCAGATTGGTGCCGTTAATGCATCCACTGAACCCAGCAGGGGTCTTTAAAGGCCGATTTACACGGTATGATTTTTGCCTACAACCATCGCATGCAACCTGCTCGCGTCATCRTTACGACATGACTTAGGTAAGATCCACACGCACACAACAGACTTGAGTGAGTTGTAGGATGGATTTACACGGCACAACTCGTGTCGTAAGGATGACGCAAGCAGGTTGCATGCGATGGTTATAGGCAAAAATTGTGCCATGTAATTCGGCCTTAAGGAGTTTTCTGTCTCCCCAACCCAACCCATATGGATTCTTCTTCCCAACAAAAAGTACATTTCCAAATGGACATTTTTTYAGCTTGGGCATAATATTTCCCCATTTCAGACAATGTGTCATTCCCTAGAGTATTATTTTTTTGCTTAATTGTGCATGAGAAGACATATAAATATGAATACAATTCAAACAAAGAATCTTATTCTCAAGAGAATGACACATGATCCAGAATGAATAAATATTAAACCCAAGCTGAAGACGTCTATTCTAATAAATATTGAATCATGGAAATTATTAAGTGTTTCCACTTAATGCACTCAGTACCACTGATAAAATAAAGRTTAAGGAAGAGTGGAAGGCATATCATTTATTTTGACAACACCTTCAGTAAAACTACTTTTGACAATCATTTCTCTTCTTTCTACATAATCATCTCAAATATRAACTAGTTATGACAAAAAAAATGAACTTTTCTTTTTCAGCTCTTAAAAAGAAATGAGTACTTTGGAAAGTTTGGGAAAATTCACAAGATTGTAATAAACAATAGTACTAATTATGCTGGTCCACAGGTAGGGCTAATAATTATGACGTTAGAATTACAAAAAAACTGTCAACATGTCAATTATTTCAAGGATTCAGTAC